AAGTCAAGATATTACTTCAAACTTAAGATGTCTCGACAGTTCCATAGTGTATTGATTTTTGTTCATGGCGTATTGTTTTCAAACTTTTATGAGTTAAATCATTTGTCGGTCGTAATGTTTTCACAACACCACATGACAATAATTTCTCAAGTTTAGTGTATTATCGTTTTTAACCATATGTTGTTTACATACATGAGCCGTATATTGTATATCCCGTAATTGTAACATTCCCTAGCATTTAAATCATGGACTCACCAATTTCTCAATTGATTCTCCAGCTGACACATCATCCTAATTAGCATTTTAATTGCTTGACACCTCAGTATGACCGATTTTTAATTATTACAAATTTGAGGTTATAATTTTTCAAATGTTTCTCTATTAATATATAGGGGATATATACAATATTTTCACTTTGCACTCTTACTACATTCTTTCCATTTCATCATTATTTGGTATTATTAGAATAACCCACTAAACCAACAACCGAAAAAAACACAGATCCCGGCCCGCGCTTGCGCGGGGGTTATGCAGCTAGTTAGTAATAATGAGCTAAAAGGTTTGATATATATCTTTAGAATCTTTTGCGTGGATTAGTTTGAAAACTTACAACTGAATTTTTATTTGGTAACCAAAGCTATAAATGTATAATGTTAGGCTAGACTGCTGTATATTTAATGGTTTACATTTAATATGTTGCACTCTCCAAATCGACAAATTGTATAAATTTGATGCCGGTTATCCAAAACCGGAAATGTAGGCGTAGGTAAATGTTATATGTGTCGTGATTAGTTGGGATTATTAATGTAAAAATACTCTTGAGATTAAATGTAAGTCCCCATTCTAGAAATATGTCCAAAATTTAAAATATCACACATCAAGTAAAGACATGACTTCTATTTTGATATATAAGATAAGATAAAAAGCAGAACAAGTTATAGCACATAAACAAAACTGGGTAGTCTATAGACTCGTGATTATAAGTCGGATTTATGCTTAAAATAGACTAAATACATCTTATTAGAATACCACATCACGAAATCTACACAAGATAGAATGCAGAAGAAAGTTTTTTTTTTGCATTCTATACCTAAGATAGATCTCTGTGTAGAGCCTACTATCTGATACCTAGACGAAGTAGATAACTAGAATGTATATTATATCCTCGCTATAACATTAAATAAAACATGACTCGACAATTTTTTTTTTTAAAAAATAAACATATAAATACTCATACTAATGTTTACTGACACTTTCATATTTATATTTTTAAAACTTAGTTTACTATTTGTTTCTATTACATAAAGGTAAAACATGTTCAAACTGACCAAAAGTACCAAAAGTCTCATTTCACCAAACAATATTGAAAGTGTCTCTTTTTCAAATTCTACCTTTATATTACCCAATAGATTCAATCCGATATACTCCTTCTATTTCAAAATAGATTTTTTTATATTTCAAAATAGATAATATTTTGATATTTTGTATTAATTTTAGTTTAAGTGAAAATTTTATAACCAATGATATTTTATACTTACTTTTAAAGATTGGCTGAAATAATTTTGGTTTATATTTTTAATGTTACTTTTTAGAAAAAAAGAAATTTATTTTTGTGCATACACCTAAAACATCAAAGTATTTTGGAACAAAAGTATAAAAAGATTCAAAAAACTAGGAAAATGAAAAAAAAGATGACGATATAATAGGATTAGAAGAAAAAAAAGAAAAAAAAACAGAAAAATATGAAGAAACTCAACCCTTGAACAGATTCAACTATCAAATCTCTAACTAATCATTTCGTCAAATGATATGCTACTTTTCTTTCAGACCGAACAACTTCTTTGGTAATCACCACTTGAGTGATCAGTTCACATATTGCACTATATCTAACGCCAGATGTCGCGACTTATCATTATACACTTAGTTATAAATCTTAACCAAGACTTCTTAACTATCAAAGATACAAACTGCTGATACTATTTCAACCACAATAGAATCTCGTAAATTAAATTCTTTACCCAATATGGCTATTTACCAGCATATGCTAATGCTACAAATTTTTATTTTATAGTTAAATTTTTCATGCAACTTTGCTCCTTGGAAGCCCATGAAATGGCACCTCCCCAATCAAATACACCCAACCACTTATAGAAGAATGATCTTCTATATTGATAATCTAACATATAACAAACCATAATTTATGGTTCCATTCAACACTTGAGTTGTGATATTTATTGTCCTCTATAAGGCCCAAACTTCACACTCGCGTCTATGGGAGTTCTCATTGGAGAAAAATCTCACAATCGAACTTCTTAACAACTTTCTCAATATAATGAGATTTTGTTAAAGATAGTTTTTTATTTGTACGTGTGACTCACATTTCAAAAATCACATCCACCTCCCCCATGTCTTTCATTGTACAACTTGATGACCATAATGCTTTTGTAAGCTCTACTTATCTATGGCTAATGCCAAAGATCAATATATCATCAACATATAAGCAAATGATTATTCTATTATTTGACTCATCAATTTGTTATATAAACATTAGCCTAGTAGTTTAACTCAAACCACTTGATAAGACAATCTCATTAAACATTTGATGTTACTGCCTAGATGATTTCTTTACCATACAAATAATTGAATACATTTTATACTTATTACAAGGTACAATAAAACTTTAAGGTTGCTTTATATACACTTTTTTAGCCATCGATCCATATCCATGGATCATAGTTCATAACACCTACCATGAACAATATGTTTACCACTCATGATGGCTCGGCCTTAACCCCAATGCACTTGCATCCATAGGTATAATAACTTGCATAATTCAAACAATATTATTCTAGTGAAATTATATTCGCACTTTTTCAATAACATTACGTTTGCACCTTTTTCAATAACATTATATTTGCACTCTTTTGGTGACGTTACATTTGCACCCTTTCGGTAACGTTACATTCGCACCTTTTTGGTGACATCACATTCGCACATTTTCGGTGATGGTACATTCACACCTTTGCTATCCCAAACCATTTGCACCCGTTCAGTCCCGAACCGTTCGCACCCTTTCGGTCCCGACCCGTTCGCACCCTTTCTGTCCCGACCCGTTCGCACCCTTTCGGTCCCGAACCGTTCGCACCCTTTCAGTCCCGAAACGTTCGCACCCTTTCGGTCCCGAACCGTTCGCACCCTTTCGGTCCCAAACCGTTCGCATCCTTTCAGTCCCAAACTGTTCGAACCATTTTGGTCTCGAACCATTCACACCCTTTAGGTTCCGAACCATTCACACTCTTTCGGTCACGACACATTTGTACCTCTTGGATCATGGCACATTCGTACCTCTTGGATCATGGCACATTCGTACCTCTTGGATCACGATCTGATCGCACCCTTTGGATGACACCCCTTGATAGCATCCCTTGATGGTATCCTTTGGTGGCATCCCTTGGTAGCACCCCTTGGTGGCATCCCTTGATGGCATTCTTTGGTAGCATTTCTTGATGCACTCCTTGATGGCACCGTGTTCGATCATCATTAACAATATTACTTAAAATGAAACTAACATACCTTTGAGAATAAGACAACGATGTATTATTCTATATTGTTTTATCTTCTTGCTCTATCTTTGTAAGTTTACTCTTTCAAACATTTACAACTTTTCACACTTTGATTTAATCTCTCATATAAATATAAAAGTTACAGTTCACAACAAGAATACTCTTTAAGATTGTTGGTTAATTTGTATTTGGTAACCCGAATAGGTGTGAACTATATACTTGGATAATGATTGAATCGTCATGCTTTCCTTAACAAGTATTTCAACCATATTCCAAGTCTTTGGATTACACGAAATCCTCTTATAAGATAAGACAATCAAAGCCACATTCTTGTTATATGCTAAAATATAAGAATAACATATAAAGCTTTAATGCTTATATGTGTTTCTTCAAATATTTTTGATAATCTTTGAACAATGATTCTCTCTCTCTGTTAACTAACTAGTTTCTCTCATGATTCAAGTTGTGATTTGTCAATGCCAACAACTCCTTATATAGAGTATGAAGGGTTGCAATGGTTAGCACCAATATTTGCAACTGTTAGCACCAATAATGGCAATGGTTGGCCAAAAATCACAATCATTATTCACCAAAGATTTTAATCATCAATAGTTGCAATAGTTTATCATCAAATATTTGCAACAGTTCATCAATAGTAGTTCAATCACAAACAATTGCATTTGTTCATTTAAACAATTGCAATATTTAATTTTAATGGTTGCAAAGATTTACTTAAATAGTTGCAATTGTTCATACAAATAATTGCAGTGATTCACATGATAGATTGCATCTAGTCACATATATATATATATATATATATATATATATATATATATATATATATATATATATATATATATATATATATATATATAATGATATATTGCATATAATCACTTAAATATCCAACAGAAAAAGACATGTGAAAAAGATGGGCATTTTTTAAAATTTATATATAAAATTGGGTTTTTGTTTTTTTGTATGGTTAAGAGTAAACCTAATAAAACCAATGAACCAATTTAAATTATGGTTTATGGGTAATTAAATTTTGAATTATCGTTTCATGGAGAAGTAAATTTTTAATTTTTAATTCATGTTGATTTAGCACAAAGTCATAGTTTGGTGGAATTCTGATACTATATAATAACTATCATGAAGAAATAGATTCTCAACCCTCTAAATATATATATATATGTGCATAGTTCGTCAATTGCACAATATTTTTTTTATTTTTTTGAAAAAAATTACACATTGATTTTAAAGATTAGTTTAAACTAAAATATATATAATAAATGGACAACACGTTTCCGTTGTCCATTAATCTTCTCACTTCGATTAAAATGCGGTGATTTTCTTATCAGCAAATCAACGTATATTTGTAGGTTAAATATATACGTCAACCGACATCTAACATAACTTTTTCATCTATATATCGATCTATCTAAAAGTCCCACCAAACGTAGGAGTCCAGAAATCTACTGTAGTAGTACCGTGCGTCACTGGAAATATACTCGAAACTGGCACTAAGCATAAACCTCGACTTCTAAGATCTGCTTCTTCTGAAACTTCTAGCTCCTTATGATGATCACTCTGCATCATTAAAAACAAAAGGTAAGTTTCATTAAGTTTCTTGGAATAATGTTTGTCAAATCTTGAAGATGAAGCAACCATTAAATATATTCATGTAATAAAGAATACGAACGAGAACCGTACGTTAATCACTTGAATAATAATAACAGTAAAATGATTTGATGATGTATATAAAATTATAAATTACCTGTTGATGCTGTAAAGAAGCTACACTTTTCATGTATGGGTTGCTGAGAGCCTGAATTGTAATCATTTGCAGATTTGTACATCAGTAGCAATACAATAACTAACTATAATAATGTAGCAAAAAAAAGTTGTTTATGATAAAAATAATGGCTGGGCTAACTTACTGAAACTTGTTGGTGTAAGAACTTAATGTATTCAATGGATTCAGAGAGGACTGAGGCTGCATCAGTCTGACAAAAACCACATGAAATTTAGTAAAACAAAATCTAAGAATTGTATTCATATTATTTATCCCCCCCCCCCCACAAGATAATAGAATAGTTAAAAAGAAAGTTATATTATACTATGATAAGTAATAATGACAGTATAGACAAATATAGTAATACACACTCATCATCTTTCAGAAAGGTAAAGCAAAAAATTGCAGCCAGAGAAGTACCTTTCCGAAAGGTGAAACCAATTGTTGGAGCGCAGCGATTCTGTCCCCCATTTTCTCTTTCCTGGCCTAATTCAGGAAGAACAAATATTTTGAAGAAAATTAAGGAGGAAAACTTAAGAATTATTCAAATTTTTGGGAAGAATGTGTTATTATTTTTAGTTTTGAAAATACAACTTAGCGATGACAAAAGAAAAATACAACTTAGCAAGCCTGCTTGTTTCTGTCAAGAAGTATAGATTAATTTGGGTTGTCTAGATTCAAAATGTTTTGGATAGAAATGATAAAAACTATTTTACTCGTTTAAATTAGGGTTTTGTTTTAATTAATAAAAGATTCGTTTTTACTAGAAAACCATGGAATTCTTTTATCTAATTAATCCATTATAAAATATTAATGTGCAGAAAGATGTCATTATTGCATCCCTAAAAAGTGTTAAAACGAGATACAGCGAGAAATATAGTGCACACAGTAATTCCAAAAGACTCTTATCTCTTTTATTAGAAATCCTTTACACAATCTCTTACAGATTTGTTTGATCCGAATTACACGACTCGCCACGGATCGATTCCTAGAACACCCAAGTTGCTTGCCTCAACACCTGTTGATCAAGCCTACCAATTCACTCAGCT